ACTGACTACAGTAGTTTTGAAGGTTGTCTAAATAATTCTGTAATCCATTTTCACTTGTAGAGACCATAAGTAAATCGTCTGCATACAAAATACAATTTAAGTTGATATTATTTAACTGGATAGGGTCATAACTGTTAATTGACTGACAAATGTCATTAATATATAAATTGAATAACTGTGGGCTGAGATTACAACCTTGTCGAACACCACGGTATGAATTAAATGATTCAGTTAAACCATTATCTAATTTAATCCTATTTTTAGTGCTACTGTAAATTGAGCGAATAATACCATAGAATTTCCCCCCAATTCCTAATGTCAGTAATTTGTACAGTAACCCATCTCTCCAAACTGAATCAAATGCTTTAGAAAAATCAATAAAGCGTGCAAATAAATGATTCTTTGATCTTTTTAATTTGCTATTGACATACTTAGTAATCATATTTCTCAAAACATATACTCCATCTGTAGTGCGGTGATTCTTTTTGAAGCCAAACTGATTGTTTGAATGAACTGATTTCATTTGAACAGGTACAGAGATACAGTAGTATGGTCGAAAAACAAGATTTCAGACAGTCCTCCAACTTTGATCCGATTGTGAAACTAATTGTCATGGACATGTATTCAAGAGCACGTATGCCAAAGATACCACATTTTCATACAAATGGCTGCCAGACAGAAATTTTGGATTGCAGTGGGCATGTGCATATGTCCAAGATAGGCACATGCAAAGAATAAACAGATTTGGTCCACAGGATTCTGAAATATAATTCCGGACGAACGGACAAACGAAGACTGAATTATAAGTCCCTGCTTCAAACTTCGTTCAAAAAAGGACTAACAAGATTAAGACTATACAAGATTGATTGGGTTATCAACATTTGCATTCTACGTTGTTTTTGCCAAACGTGGTGAGATATGTGGCTATCTATAGAAGACTGTAATCATTTTGATGATGAAGTGGTGCCAACTTACTTCTGATGCACTATATTCAGCCATGCTGTCGCTGAGTTGTTCTATTTCTGATACAAATTAGAAAAATATTGCAGAAATAAGCATTTTCAAGAACAAACAAGTTTTAGAGCAATGACACTTGACAAATTGCATACAAATGTAGCTTCCACAAAACAATTTTCTCAAAAAGGTCAAACATCTTATTGGTTTACGATTTTTTTTTTAAATTTAAAAAAAAAACGAAAATGTCTCACTGAAATTATCCATCCCGCTCTAATTGGAATCCACATGTCCAATGTTAAACTTTGAACTTAAATCAAGAGTTATCGTCTAACATTTGCCTATCACAGGAAATTGAAATTAAATAGTTGCAAAGCAGTTTATGAACAACTTCAGAGGCGGGCAGAAAGAAGTTAAAACATTTATCACTTACACATTTAAAAAAGTGGCAATTGACTTGCCTTAATTACCGGTATATAGAGTTTAATTTACCTGGTAGGTTTAGATGAACACAGTATATAATTTAATTTACCTGGTAGGTTTAGATGAACACAGTATACTGTACAAATGTGATCTTTTGTAAAATCCACAATAGCTTTTCTGGCAATATTGTCCATTCCGAACAACCTGAAAACATGAACATAAAACAAGAGCTGACACAGGAGTTTGTTCAATTATACAAGTTTAATTTCGTATTGATTAGGAATTGCTGTGTTATTGATCTGTATGTTGCATCATTTAATTTGGTGTTAAAACTGTGTTTTAGCCATAGATGGCATTCTTATACCCCCCCCCCCCCCGTGGTGATGGCATTTCTTTTTTTTCTGTTAAGGTTTGGGGGCCAGCCAAACACAGAACTAAACACACCTTTTTCAGATAAGGTTAGGACAATACAAATGTTAAGTGTT